TGCAAAGCGAACTTGGCGTGCTTGATTACCAAGGGAATTTTCCATAAACATCATTCATGGTTTTTTAATTAAGACGAAATAATAGCTATTCACGCTTCGGTATTAAAATCTTTCCAAATACCCAATGAGGACATGCTTCGTTTGTATTTCCATTTGGAAAAAGTTATTCCCCTCTTCTAGCCGACTAATTGTTTGCTTTCATGTGACGATACATTTGCTGATGAGCTGAATTAGACGAGTAACAAAAGCCAAGTCCATTAAATGCTGGCTCTCTTCTTACTTCGGCATGCGCTTTACTCTGACTTTAAACTGCCCTAATGATAATTATATGGTTGTGTCGGTCACAAAAGTATAAATTACCTTGACCCGTGTCTGCGATCATTAATACTTCTTCTCCGTGGGCAAAGAACTAGACTTGTTCAATAACGTGAAAGTAACCCCTACATTGTTCATTTTCTATTGTTTGTAAGATAATTAACGCCTACCATGCTTCCTTATTGCAATCTTTGCTATTCATAAGAATACGGACTTGCCTCGTTTGGATTTGATTCCAAAACGGATCCCTATAAATAGCGTTTTATTAATTGCTCTGCTAGCAGTTATTGCCTGCTTGGTGCCATCAAAGCAGCGTTACAGTTGTATTGTGACATTGTATAATCAAGAAAAAAGGATTTGATTGAATACAGATTTTAAATAACTTGAAATATCTTTCGATTAATCTTTAACATCCTTCTTCAAATATGTTTCCTTCATTGAATTTCCCATTCTTACAATCCTATTGGCGATACGAATATTTGGTTACGCACTATTTCAAAACATGATTTTTTAAAACGGCCAAGGAGGAAAATTTTGATGACATTTTGCTTGATAATATATATGTGTGCTCGGATTTTCCAGCAGATTGTTGACATACCCATGGGGACAAACGGTCGTTAATTTTCCCTTTTCTTAATAGCAAAATCCCTTCATCGCCGTGGTGTTTGCAAGCAACTGCTTATTGAGAAGTATTTTATATTCACGTTCAATTTGCTCTTTAATATCATTTTCTAAGTGTGCCTCGTGGTTTTGTCACTACCCTGGTTCGAGTTTTGAGGACGTGACATGACTTGGATCTACCAATATTGATATGTTGCGGAGGTCGCCTATGAAGCAGAAGATGTTTATTTTTCATAAAAGCATCACTCGTTTTCTTTATTGGAATGGTTTCTGTGCCAATCCTGCTCGATCCTGGTCAGCTCTAACAAGCTTCAGTAAGGTCTTAATGTGAAACTAAAGGATGTGGCAAACAATATCCCCTTTCTGAAAAAAAAGTAGTAATTAATTTGCAAAGTCTTAAATAAACCAAACGTCAGCAGCCATCTATTGAAACACATCAAATCAAGATCCTAATCGAGTTTGAAGAATTGAGACCACCATCAATACACCAAGCATTGCTGTAAATGCCCTGATGGAGTATGCTATACTGATGTGGAGAAAACCGGGTATTTCATATTTACTGTTGTATCTATTTCAAACAGGCACATCCATTGTAAACATGTGTTTGTATTAATAGGTGATATACAGAAGCCAATAAAAGTACGTCAATGTCGTAATAGTCAAATTGCAACAGATGCTTGAACCCTAAGGCATCAATCAAGCGCTACAAGGACCAAAACAAACCACCCACCTCATCCTGCTGTGACAATTGAACCCTTGGTTTACCGCCGATTAGTGAGACTTTCATCGTGCTCCCACGGTCATAATAGCACAGCAAGCACGTCTGGGGAATGTAGAATGATTTGTACTTGAACAGACAGAACCTCTAATAAATAGTTTACGTCATTTCCTGTTGTGTAACTGTGTCATGGTAATGTACAGTATTACGCATGCAGTGTGTATTTGCTGTTGGTCTATTAAGCCACAAACACTTGAGATTAGACATTAGAAAATAATGAAAATAAACTAATTAAAATTTCAAAAACTTTATGACGTAAAGAATCATTTCACTCTCATTTCGTATTTTTCTCTGAATGTGTTGACTGGCATATTTTTGCAGAACGTGGTATTGCACGTTTATAGATGGTATTTAATTCTGGATATTTCCATTTTTAGTATTTATACATATGTTTGAGAACACTTCAGACGTTGGTTTTCAATCGTTTCCCTTTTAATGTCTTTTTGTTTTAAATTCACAAAATAATGAAAGTGTGCAATGAAAATATTAACGTTGTTTGGGTTTCTGCATCGAATAACAAATATTTGAAACACGTGTTTCTTTCCTTCTCCCCTCTAGTTATCATTGACTTTATAAGGCGGTTGTCTGTGATTTTGGACTGTCTCCGAAATTAGCCGTAACCTTGTAGCTGGACTATCAGTCTCCGAGGATAGCCGTAACCTTGTAGCTGGACTATCAGTCTCCGAGGCTAGCTGTATTCTTTTAACTGGACTGTCAGTCTCCGAAGTTAGCCGTAACCTTGTAACCGGACTGTCAGTCCCCGAGGTTAGCTGTAACATTGTAGCTGGACTGTCAGTCTCCGATGTTAGCCGTAACCTTGTAACCGGACTGTCGGTCTCCGAGGTTAGCCGTAACCTTGTAGCTGGACTGTCAGTCTCCGAGGCTAGCCATAACCTGGTAGCTGGACTGGCAGTCTCTGATGTTAGCCGTAACCTTGTAGCCGGACTGTCAGTCTCCGAGGCTAGCCGTAACCTTGTAGCCGGACTGTCAGTCTCCGAGGATAGCCGTAACCTTGTAGCTGGACTGGTAGTCTCCGAGGTAAGCCGTAACCTTGTAGCCGGACTGTCAGTCTCCGAGGTTAGCCGTAACCTTGGTACCGGACTATCAGTCCCCGAGGCTAGTCGTAACCTTGTAGCTGGACTGTTAGTCCCCGAGGTTAGCCGTAACCTTGTATTCGGACTGTCAGTCTCCGAGGCTAGCCGTAACCTTGTAGCCGGACAGTCAGTCTCCGAGGCTAGCCGTGACCTTGTAGCTGGCCTGTCAATCCCCGAGGTTAGCCGTAACCTTGTAGCCGGACTGTTGGTCTCCGAGGTTAGCCGTAACCTTGTAGCCGGACTGTCAGTCTCCGAGGCTAGCCGTAACCTTGTAGCCGGACAGTCAGTCTCCGAGGTTAGCCGTAACCTTGTAGCCGGACTGTCAGTCTCCGAGGTTAGCCGTAACCTTGGTACCGGACTGTCAGTCCCCGAGGTAAGTCGTAACCTTGTAGACGGACTGTCAGTCCCCGAGGCTAGCCGTAACCTTGTAGCCGGATTGTCAGTCCCCGAGGCTAGCCGTAACCTTGTAGCTGGACTATCAGTCTCCCAGGTTAGCCGTAACATTGTAGCTGGACTGTCAGTCTCCCAGGTNTAAACTTGCAGCTGGACTGTTAGTCCCCGAGGCTAGCCGTAACCTTGGAACCGGACTGTCAGTCCCCGAGGTTAGTCGTAACCTTGTAGCCGGAGTGTCAGTCTCCGAGTCTAGCCGTTACATTGTAACCGGACTGTCAGGATTGTCAGTCTCCGAGGTAAGGCATAACCTTGGTACCGGACTGTCAGTCTCCGAGGTTAGCGTAACCTTGTGGCTGGACTGTCAGTCCCCGAGGTTAGGCGTAACCTTGTAGCTGGACTGTCAGTCTCCGAGGCTAGCCGTAACCTTGTAGCTGGACTGTAAGGCTCCCAGGCTAGCCGTAACCTTGCAGCTGGCCTGTCAGTCTCCGAGGTGAGCCGTAACCTTGTAGCCGGATTGTCAGGCCCCGAGGCTAGCCGTAACCTTGTAGCCGGACTGGCAGTCTCCGAGGCTAGCCGTAACCTTGTAGCAGGCCTGTCAGTCCCCGAGGCTAGCCGTACCCTTGTAGCAGGACTGTCAGTCCCCGAGGCTAGCCGTACCCTTGTAGCAGGACTGTCAGTCCCCGAGGTTAGCCGTAACCTTGCAGCTGGACTGTTAGTCCCCGCGGCTAGCCGTAACCTTGGTACCGGACTGTCAGTCTCCGAGGTTAGCCGGAAACTTGCAGCTGGACTGTTAGTCCCCGAGGCTAGCCGTACCCTTGGTACCGGACTGTCAGTCTCCGAGGTTAGCCGGAAACTTGCAGCTGGACTGTTAGTCCCCGAGGTTAGCCGTAACCTTGCAGCTGGACTGGCAGTTTCCGAGGTGAGCCGTAACCTTGTAGCCGGACTGTCAGTCCCCGAGGCTAGCCGTAACCTTGTAGCCGGACTGGCAGTCTCCGAGGTTAGCCGTAATCTTGTAGCTGGACTGGCAGTCTTCGAGGTTAGCCGTAACCTTGCAGCTGGACTGTCAGTCTCCGAGGTGAGCCGTAACCTTGTAGCCGGATTGTCAGTCTCCGAGGTAAGGCATAACCTTGGTACCGGACTGTCAGTCCCCGAGGGTAGCCGTAACCTTGTAGCTGGACTGGCATGCTCCGAGGTTAGCCGTTACCTTGTAGCCGGACTGTCAGTCTACGAGGTTAGCCGTAACCTTGTATCCGGACTGTCAGTCTCCGAGGCTAGCCGTAACCTTGTAGCTGGACTGTCAGTCCCCGAGGTTAGCCGTAACCTTGGAGCCGGACTGTCAGTCCCCGAGGTTAGCCGTAACATTGTAGCTGGACTGTCAGCCCCCGAGGCTAGCCGTAACCTTGTTACCGGACTGTCAGTCCCCGAGGTTAGCCGTAACCCTGTAGCTGAACTGGCAGTCTCCGAGGTTAGCAGTTACCTCGTAGCCGGACTGTCAGTCCCCAAGGTTAGCCGTAACCTTGTAGCTGAACTGGCAGTCTCCGAGGTTAGCCGTTACCTTGTAGCCGGACTGTCAGTCCCCGAGGCTAGCCGTAACATTGTAGCTGGACTGTCAAGGGTAACCTTGGTACCGGACTGTCAGTCCCCGAGGTTAGCCGTAACCTTGTAGCTGAACTGGCAGTCTCCGAGGTTAGCCGTTACCTCGTAGCCGGACTGTCAGTCCCCAAGGTTAGCCGTAACCTTGTAGCCGGACCGTAAGTCTCCGAGGCTAGCCGTGACCTTGTAGCCAGATTGTCAGTCCCCTAGGCTAGCCGTAACCTTGTAGCTGGACTGTCAGTCTCCGAGGTAAGCCGTACCCTTGGTACCGGACTGTCAGTCCCCGAGGTTAGCCGTACCCTTGTAGCCGGACCGTCAGTCTCCGAGGCTAGCCGTAACCTTGGTACCGGACTGTCAGTCCCCGAGGTTAGCCGTAACCTTGTAGCTGAACTGGCTGTCTCCGAGGTTAGCCGTAACCTCGTAGCCGGACTGTCAGTCTCCGAGGTTAGCCGTAACCTTGTAGCTGGACTGTCAGTCTCCGAGGTGAGACGTAACCTTGTATCCGGACTGTAAGTCTCCGAGGTTAGCCGTAACCTTACAGCTGGACTGTCAATCCCCGAGGTTAGCCGTAACCTTGTAGCCGGACCGTCAGTCTCCGAGGCTAGCCGTAACCTTGTATCCGGACCGTCAGTCTCCGAGGCTAGCCGTGACCTTGTAGTTGGACTGTCAGTCTCCGAGATAAGTCGTATCCTTGTAGCCGGACTGTCAGTCCCCGAGGTTAGCCGTAACCTTGTATCCGGACTGTAAGTCTCCGAGGTTAGCCGTAACCTTACAGCTGGACTGTCAGTCCCCGAGGTTAGCCGTAACCTTGTAGCCGGACCGTCAGTCTCCGAGGCTAGCCGTAACCTTGTATCCGGACCGTCAGTCTCCGAGGCTAGCCGTGACCTTGTAGTTGGACTGTCAGTCTCCGAGATAAGTCGTATCCTTGTAGCCGGACTGTCAGTCCCCGAGGTTAGCCGTAACCTTGTATCCGGACTGTAAGTCTCCGAGGTTAGCCGTAACCTTACAGCTGGACTGTCAGTCCCCGAGGTTAGCCGTAACCTTGTAGCCGGACCGTCAGTCTCCGAGGCTAGCCGTAACCTTGTATCCGGACCGTCAGTCTCCGAGGCTAGCCGTGACCTTGTAGTTGGACTGTCAGTCTCCGAGATAAGTCGTATCCTTGTAGCCGGACTGTCAGTCCCCGAGGTTAGCCGTAACCTTGTATCCGGACTGTAAGTCTCCGAGGTTAGCCGTAACCTTACAGCTGGACTGTCAGTCCCCGAGGTTAGCCGTAACCTTGTAGCCGGACCGTCAGTCTCCGAGGCTAGCCGTAACCTTGTATCCGGACCGTCAGTCTCCGAGGCTAGCCGTGACCTTGTAGTTGGACTGTCAGTCTCCGAGATAAGTCGTATCCTTGTAGCCGGACTGTCAGTCCCCGAGGTTAGCCGTAACCTTGTAGCCGGACCGTCAGTCTCCGAGGCTAGCCGTAACCTTGTAGCTCGACTCTCAGTCTCCGAGGCTAGCCGTAACCTTGTAGCCGGACCGTCAGTCTCCGACGCTAGCCGTTACATTGTAACCGGACTGTCAGTCCCCGAGGCTAGTCGTTACATTGTAACCGGACTGTCAGTCTCCGAGGCTAGACGTAACCTTGTAGCCGGACTGTCAGTCCCCGAGGCTAGTCGTTACATTGTAACCGGACTGTCAGTCTCCGAGGCTAGCCGTTACCTTGTAGCCGGACTGTCAGTCCCCGAGGCTAGTCGTTACATTGTAACCGGACTGTCAGTCTCCGAGGCTAGACGTAACCTTGTAGCCGGACTGTCAGTCCCCGAGGCTAGTCGTTACATTGTAACCGGACTGTCAGTCTCCGAGGCTAGACGTAACCTTGTAGCCGGACTGCGGTCTTCGAGGCTAGCCGTAACCTTGTAACCGGACTGTCAGTCTCCGAAGCTAGACGTGACGTTGTAGCCGGACTATCAGTCCCCGAGGCTAGCCGTAATCTCGTAGCCGGACTGTCAGTCTCCGAGGTTAGCCGTAACCTTGTAGCCGGACTGTCATCCTCCGAGGTTAGCCGTAACCTTGTAGCCGGACTGTCAGTCTCCGAGGCTAGCCGTAGCCTTGTAGCTGGACTGTCAGTCTCCCAGGCTAGCCGTAACCTTGTATTCGGACTGTCAGTCTACGAGGTTAGCCGTAACCTTGTATCCGGACTGTCATTCTCCGAGGTTAGTCGTGACCTTGTAGCTGGACTGTTAGTCCCCGAGGTTAGCCGTAACCTTGTCGCCGGACTGTCAGTCTCCGAGGTTAGCTGTAACCTTGTAGCCGGACTGTCAGTCTCCGAGGTTTGCCGTAACGTTGTAGCTGGACTGGTAGTCTCCGAGGTTAGTCGTAACCTTGTAGCTGGACTGTCAGTCTCCGAGGTAAGCTGTAACCTTGTAGCCGGACTGTCAGTCTCCGAGGTTAGCCGTAGCCTTGGTACCGGACTATCAGTCCCCGAGGTTAGCTATAACCTTGTAGCTGAACTGTCAGTCCCCGAGGTTAGCCGTAACTTTGTAGCCCGACCGTCAGTCTCCGAGGCTAGCCGTGACCTTGTATCCGGATTGTCAGTCCCCGAGGCTAGCCGTAACCTTGTAGCAGGACTGTCAGTCCCCGAGGCTAGCTGTAACCTTGTATCCGGACTGTCAGTCCCCGAGGCTAACCGTAACCTTGCAGCTGGACTGTTAGTCCCCGAGGCTAGCCGTAACCTTGGTACCGGACTGTCAGTCTCCGAAGTTAGCGTAACCTTGTGGCTGGACTGTCAGTCCCCGAGGGTAGCCGTAACCTTGTAGACGGACTGTCAGTCCCCGAGGCTAGCCGTAACCTTGTAGCAGGACTGTCAGTCCCCGAGGCTAACCGTAACCTTGGTACCGGACTGTCAGTCCCCGAGGTTAGCCGTAACCTTGTAGCTGGACTGTCAGTCTCCGAGGTGAGCCGTAACCTTGTAGCCGGACTGTCAGTCTCCAAGGTAAGCCGTAACCTTGGTACCGGACTGTCAGTCCCCGAGGTTAGCCGTAACCTTGTAGCTGAACTGGCAGTCTGCGAGGTTAGCCGTAACCTCGTAGCCGGACTGTCAGTCCCCAAGGTTAGCCGTAACCTTGTAGCCGGACCGTCAGTCTCCGAGGCTAGCCGTGACCTTGTAGCCAGATTGTCAGTCCCCGAGGCTAGCCGTAAACTTGTATCCGGACTGTCAGTCTCCGAGGTTAGCCGTAACCTTTCAGCTGGACTGTCAGTCCCCAAGGTTAGCCGTAACCTTGTAGCCGGACCGTCAGTCTCCGAGGCTAGCCGTAACCTTGTATCCGGACCCTCAGTCTCCGAGGCTAGCCGTGACCTTGTAGCTGGACTGTCAGTCTCCGAGATAAGTCGTATCCTTGTAGCCGGACTGGCAGTCTCCGAGGCTAGCCGTGACCTTGTAGCTGGACTGTCAGTCCCCGAGGTTAGCCGTAACCTTGTAGCCGGACCGTCAGTCTCCGAGGCTAGCCGTTACATTGTAACCGGACTGTCAGTCTCCGAGGTTAGCCGTAAACTTGTAGCCGGACTGTCAGTCCCCGAGGCTAGTTGTTACATTGTAACCGGAATGTCAGTCTCCGAGGCTAGACGTAACCTTGTAGCTGGACTGTCAGTCCCCGAGGCTAGCCGTAACCTTGTAGCTGGACTCTCAGTCTCCGAGGCTAGCCGTAACCTTGTAGCCGGACTGTCAGTCCCCGAGGTTAGCCGTAACCGAGGCTAGCCGTAACCTTGTAACCGGACTGTCAGTCTCCGAGGCTAGACGTGACGTTGTAGCCGGACTGTCAGTCCCCGAGGTTAGCCGTAACCTTGTAGCTGGACTCTCAGTCTCCGAGGTTAGCCGTGACGTTGTAGTCGGACTGTCAGTCTCCGATGCTAGCCGTAACCTTGCAGCTGGACTGTCAGTCCCCGAGGCTAGCCGTAACCTTGTAGCCGGACCGTCAGTCCCCGAGGCTAGCCGTGACCTTGTAGCCGGACTGTCAGTCTCCGAGGTAAGCCGTAACCTTGTAGCCGGACTGTCAGTCTCCGAGTCTAGCCGTTACATTGTAACCGGACTGTCAGTCCCCGAGGCTAGCCGTAACCTTGTAGCCGGACCGTCAGTCCCCGAGGCTAGCCGTAACCTTGTAGCCGGACTGTTAGTCCCCGAGGCTAGCCGTTACATTGTAACCGGACTGTCAGTCCCGGGGGTTAGCCGTAACCTTTGTCAGTCTCCGAGGTTAGCCATAACCTTGTAGCCGGATTGTCAGTCCCCGAGGTTAGCCGTTACATTGTAACCGGACTGTCAGTCTCCGAGGTTAGCCGTAACCTTGTAGCTGAACCGTCAGTCCCCGAGGCTAGCCGTGACGTTGTAGCCGGAATTGTCTTAAATATCTTTCTTGATCAACACTCATTTTTTTGCTACAGCAAATGGTTTTAAATTTGTGACGGAGATAATATGATCATTACCATTTTTACCTATTTTTCTACATTTATTTTGGGAAGTGTTAGACGCGGACGTTCAACATTTGACAGTTTTTGTACTACTGATGGGTCATGCATGGACGAAACAGTCCAATGATTCTGTAAAAAATGAAAAAAGGGTTCCTTTACTTCGTATTTTTAGTGATGAACTTAGAGAGTCAATGAATATTTTACTTAGTTACAACAAACAAAGGTTTTACTTCCATCATACATTACGCAGGTGGACGTTTTTCAGATCATCCACTGAGCACTTTCCAAACGCAATCTTATTACGTCAAAATTACGACGTTAAATACCATTAATATGCTTTCAAATCGTGCCTGTGTCTTCATTAGACAATTAAGTTAACGAGTTAGATATATGATGCGGGATGAAATGAAATAGTTTTGTCTTTGGTCCGAAAAGGTCAGTCTCATCTGGTAAAAATCTTATTGGTTTGGTCCAAAATCAGTGTTGTGAAACAGTTTTGTAAACTGCCAAACAATATAATCATCACGTATGGAATTAAGCATTCTGCAGAGGTACACACATAAGTTGAACATGTGTTGTTTTAATGGTGTTGTGTCCCGACACTGCAATGGTGTACGAATGTTGTCTTGGAACGTTTATAGATAAGTAAAACAGACGTTAATTTAAGCAAATACATACTTTAAACTCATATGATTGACCTTATATGAATAGAAATGTTCCGGTTTGTTGTGAATGATAAACACGAATATAGAAATAAATCTATACTCATGATTGGAGTGTTACTAACACCACAATTCTCTCTCATTGGTGATGATCTGTTTCGATTGGCATCTTGCCAGGTCAATTTTCCCGCCAGAAGTATTATCGGCTGCATTTCGTTTAATGAATGAAGATTGATGGCGGATACGTGGGAATCTATCAACACCAGATAACACCTATCTTTTCAAGACTGATATCTCGCGAGATAAGAAACGCATCTGACGTGAAAATAAACGAAGCTAACTTTATAATTAGAATAAAGCGGATTAGAGGCGAAACAAATACTCCTACGATATAAACAGTCCTATTGTGAAGATCAACATATTCAAAGTCTAACCATTTGTTTGTAAAAGGAACTCAACTAACCTGCCACTACAAGTAAAGGACGTATCTGACGGTGAGGACTTTGCAAATGAGATTATTTGCACGGTGATGTGTCTGTCTGAAACATAAAACTGTAATAAAAGAATGATTTTAATTCAATTTAGGCACTTTTGCTTTTCGTAATATATAGTACACCATGCAGCTACGCGTATTTAGTTGAATATGTCATTAAACATTTCATGAAATGGTCGATTATATATACTCGGTATGTTAATTGATATTCTAACAAATTTAATTGGTCACTCTGTTTTATTTTAAACAAAGCAAAATGCATGTTTATTGGTTCCCTCGCCAAAGTATCTACAAGTTAATATGTGTGTCACACTGGGTGATGTCACTATTGACAACTGTATCAAACAGTGATGTCACTATTGACAACTGTATCAAACTGCGATGTCACCATTGACAACTGTATCAAACTGTGATGTCACTATTGACAACTGTATCAAACCGTGATGTCACTATTGACAACTGTATCAAACTGTGATGGCACTATTGACAACTGTATCAAACCGTGTATCAAACTGTGATGTAACTATTGACAACTGTATCAAACAGTGATGTAACTATTGACTACTGTGTCAAACTGTGATGTAACTGTTGACAACTGTATCAAACAGTGATGTAACTTTTGACAACTGTATCAGACAGTGATGTCACTATTGACAACTGTATCAAAATGCGATGTAACTATTGACAACTGTATCAAACAGTGATGTAACTATTGACTACTGTGTCGAACTGTGATGTAACTGTTGACAACTGTATCAAACAGTGCTGTAACTTTTGACAACTGTATCAAACAGTGATTTCACTATTGACAACTGTATCAAACTGCGACGTAACTATTGACAACTGTATCAAACCGTGATGTAACTATTGACAACTGTATCAAACCGTGATGTCACTATTGAAAACTGTATCAAACTGCGGTGTAACTATTGACAACTGTATCAAACCGTGATGTAACTATTGACAACTGTATCAAACCGTGATGTCACTATTGACAACTGCATCAAACTGTGATGTAACTATTGACAACTGTATCAAACAGTGATGTAACTTTTGACAACTGTATCGAACAGTGATGTCACTATTGACAACTGTATCAAACTGTGATGTACCTTTTGACAACTGTATCAAACTGCGATGTAACTATTGACAACTGTATCAAACCGTGATGTAACTTTTGACAACTGTATCAAACCGTGATGTAACTATTGACAACTGAATCAAACCGTGATGTCACTATTGACAACTGCATCAAACTGTGATGTAACTATTGACAACTGTATCAAACAGTGTTGTAACTATTGACAACTGTATCAAACTGCGATGTAACTATTGACAACTGTATCAAACCGTGATGTAACTATTGACAACTGAATCAAACCGTGATGTCACTATTGACAACTGCATCAAACTGTGATGTAACTATTGACAACTGTATCAAACAGTGATGTAGCTTTTGACAACTGTATCAAACAGTGATGTCACTATTGACAACTGTATCAAACTGTGATGTACCTATTGACAACTGTATCAAACCGTGATGTCACTATTTACAACTGCATCAAACTGTGATGTAACTATTGACAACTGTATCAAACTGTGATGTACCTTTTGACAACTGTATCAAACTGCGATGTAACTATTGACAACTGTATCAAACCGTGATGTCACTATTGAAAACTGTATCAAACTGCGGTGTAACTATTGACAACTGTATCAAACCGGGATGTAACTATTGACAACTGTATCAAACCGTGATGTCACTATTGACAACTGCATCAAACTGTGATGTAACTATTGACAACTGTATCAAACAGTGATGTAACTATTGACAACTGTATCAAACAGTGTTGTAACTATTGACAACTGTATCAAACTGTGATGTTTTTGCTGAAGCCGCGCATTTTGCCAAGCTATTTTGTCAAATTGGATGATGATGCTATTGAAACTGCTACTGTTTCTGGTTGTTTTGTCTTTAATTTACAGGTGTCCTTCTAGGAATACCCATATGGTTTTGTTTGTACGGAATTTTCAAACAATGTCCGAGAGTTTGGTTACTCGTCACCCGGGTAACGTTAGATACCATTTGTTATAATCTCACGCCGTTTATGTATTGTTATTATAAAGTAATACAAGTTTTGTCTCTAACAATTTCTGAAGATGAGCATGGGTATTGTAAAATACTTTATAAAACAACATTACATGGTTTTGACCTGATTTGGTTTTCTCCCGATTTCCTCCATAGCCCCAAGGCCTTGTCAATCCTGGCTCCGGGCATTAACTGTAATGCTATCTTTCTCGTTTGTAATGACAGCAGTGTTAAAGCTATGGGACCGGTACTCGATCATGTGTGGGTTCCCAACACTTCCACGACCACATTTGTTGTACCAAAAACCGTGAATTTGTCATTTTAAGCCCTCAAAGACGATGATGATTTGATTTGTTTACCGTCATACTTGTTCGTTATATAGTTATTTAAATCAAGAACTGATAATCAAAACGTTTAGAAATCTAACACACGAACGTATTTTACCGTGTGTTACTAGAACTATTACTTTGTGAAACTGGTACGTCCTGCTAATATTACCGTATACTACTTATATCTCACCGTTAATAAATTAAGTATAGGAATGCACATTATTAACAGGTATGATGGTATAATGTTACCTACGAGCCTCCAAGCGTGATTTGCGATGGCGCATTTAGCAAAATATCCGATCTTTACCTATTCATGTAAGAATGACGCTGTCCAGTTTTTCGAACTTCCCCATTTTTTACAATAACATTCCAAGCTTACCTTTCTCCAAGCAGTGTTTACATATCGTAGGGTGTTCAATAGTCATGATCCGAATACACCGATTTCCGCGATAGATGTTGTTGGCAGACAGAGAATCTGTAATCATAAAGTTTCAAGTGATGCAGGTTGGTAAAGGATGTAGGTAACATAAGGTGGTTATCAGCATCTCATGTGGAACTATTATATTCTCTTGTATAGTATGAAAAGCCGTTTTAAGTTTATTCATATAAGTGTGTTTTTTGTTTTCTTTGTACTTCCTCTGCTTTAACTGTAAGAATGTTGATTTTATAGTTTTATTTACATGGCGAGTGTAACAGGAAAGCAGGCGATGCTTACCTCTCCGGAATACCTTGAGATTTATTATTCTATTATGTTGTACAAATAGTCTACGTGTAAATATTTAATATAGTGTGCCTTAGTTTTACCGAGTTTGAGTTTACATTAGGTTTTTTTACCTGTTTGTATTCTATTGATTTTGTATTGTTTTGTAAGCAATCAGGATTATTGTTAGTTATATTCGTTTCAATTCATATAAGTCCTTTAAAAATAACAAAAGAAAATTCCGTTTTAACAATCTGTGTTGTGTCGTTTCGTTCGCTTATAAAAAAAACAGTTTAATCGAATAATACAACAGCCAGTTTTGCCAGAAAATGATATGTGAATACCATTACTGGAAGGGAACAGGTTAAAACTAATATCAATTTTTTAATATGACTTATAGACGTGATAGACGAGAACAGTTTCCGATGGGGAAAAATTCAAGCGCAGGTGTTTATTTGGTACTGCTTTATTTGGTACTGCTTTGAATAGAACAGTTTAGGTTATAAAATAAGGGACTAAATAACGGATACGTGATAGCAATAATTATCACTATAGAATTACTGTTTAGAGGCAACACAACGGAAAATGCTGATGAATAATATTTATTGTAAAATGCCCGTATTTGTTATCTCCTGTTACGTAAACAATGTTTGATCGTCTGGGAATTTCTTTCAAGGTTAGGATATAACATGCTGGCATTTCTGTCTGTGTTATACAGCCTTCTTCACTATCGTTCAAGATAATAATCTTCAATTAAGATTTGTTATTTTTCAGTGCAAAATGATTGCAGACGATCTCAGTGTCTGAGTATGTGAAAGCGACCATAAATTTGAGTTCACAAATGAGATAAGAAAACTGCGTCAACGTCGAAAAGATATTTTTAGACAACATCCGTATATTATAGGTCTAGACATGTTAATTTGATTCAAATAAAAACATTTTTGCTCTTTTGGTTTAAAAAGGGGCAGTCTATTAATCTTTTTTGAAATTAGATAATAATCGGGTGAAAGGGAGGGATGAGGGATGGACACGTGTTTATGAGTAGGGCTGGTGATGGACACGTGTTTATGAGTAGGGCTGGGGGTGAGATGGACACGTGTTTATGAGTAGGGCTGGTGGTGGGTTGGACACGTGTTTATGAGTAGGGCTGGTTGTGGGTTGGACACGTGTTTATGAGTAGGGCTGGTGGTGGTTTGGACACGTGTTTATGAGTAGGGCTGGTGGTGGGTTGGACACGTGTTTATGAGTAGGGCTGGTGGTGGGTTGTATGTGTGTGGGTTCCGAACCTCCAATAGTAATATGTTCGCGCCACGGGAATCAACATGACCTTTGACCTAGGGAGTATTAATTCATAAACACCCCCAGCTTTGAGTTAGGTTAATAGACTAGGACTCGCTGAAAACTTGCAATGTACCGTTAAATAGTGCGCAGAGCAGAAGTGATTTTACTTGTTGTATACACAAGCTGACAGTTAAGATAATTATAACAACAAAATATCAGCTACTCCTTTTAAAGAGGAATACTAAATAGAATTACGCTTGGAGAAGAAAAAGTGACCATATTTTTTCAAAGGCAGCTATTTTTTTATATTTTTGTTGTTGTTACAACTTTATTGGTGAATTCGTGAGGACAACTTTGGTTGCAAGCATTCCAGTGATAAACATAAAAGAAACTCCGACAGAAAAAATACGACACCTTTTAACACGTGACTGCAACAGTTTCAGTGTTCATTAGTTCTGTGTGTGAAGCAACGGAACACAGCAATCATGTTAGGACTTCGTTACACGTGCGTGTTTCATTTTCTGTGTTTGCACGTGCTCTTGTGTTACTGTGACCCCCCGACTACCACGCCGATGGTCCAGCTAGGAGTGACTGACCAGCCTACGACATCACATACTACGGCCAGTACCGCGCCACGAGTTGACCTTGCTCAGCGCCGTCAGTACATGTTCGTATTGGTTAGCTCAATGGTTAATATATGTATTAGCTCAGTAGTAATGTATTAACTCAGTAGTAATGTATTAACTCAGTAGTAATGTATTAGCTCAGTAGTAATGTATTAACTCAGTAGTAATGTATTAACTCAGTAGTAATGTATTAGCTCAGTAGTAATGTATTAACTCAGTAGTAATGTATTAACTCAGTAGTAATGTATTAGCTCAGTAGTAATGTATTAACTCAGTAGTAATGTATTAACTCAGTAGTAATGTATTAGCTCAGTAGTAATGTATTAACTCAGTAGTAATGTATTAACTCAGTAGTAATGTATTAGCTCAGTAGTAATGTATTAACTCAGTAGTAATGTATTAACTCAGTAGTAATGTATTAGCTCAGTAGTAATGTATTAACTCAGTAGTAATGTATTAGCTCAGTAGTAATGTATTAACTCAGTAGTAATGTATTAACTCAGTAGTAATGTATTAGCTCAGTAGTAATGTATTAACTCAGTAGTAATGTATTAGCTCAGTAGTAATGTATTAACTCAGTAGTTGATTAATATATTCGCTCAATATTAACGTATCATCGAACTTGTCAATTAATATATTAGTTCAACAAAAATGTATTAACACTGTGGTCAATTAATGTATAAGCTCAATATAAACGTATCGTCTTACTGGTCAATTAATATGTAAGTTCAATAAAATATATTAGCACAATGGTCAATTAATGTATAAACTCATTATTAATGTATGAGCACAGAGATTGATTAGTGTATTCGCTCAATGATAATATTTTCACTTAGTAGTTAATTGATGTATTAACACTGTAGTCAATTGATGCATTTGCTCAATATTAATTATTAAATCAGTGGTTTTATTCATACATAAATGTATGCACCAGATCGGTGGTAAAGTGTGTGTTGTATATCAGCGGTTAATGTATTTTGACTAAAGATGAAATTCTCTTGTGCTTTGACAAATTTGCCATCTACGATGTCGCTTAGGGTGTATGTCTTTGTCAGTTATCAAAATTGTCGTAAAAGCCGCTTTTAAATGAGACAAACTGTTACAATTTTCAGTCCAATATATTCACTACATATCTGTATGGCCCACTTACCACGTCGTTCTGCTTTGTGAAAAACATATACTGGCTACCACAGACAGTAGAATTATCTGTTGTGTGTGATGATATCAGTACTGTAACTGGACAAAATCATGTATTGCTATCGTTTTACTGGTAAATGTAAGTGTTTGCTCATTAAAACCGCCAAGACACAAGAAATTGAAATATAATTACTGTCTTGAATCGTAATTTGAAAAGTATATATATATATCCCTCTATGATATTGTTACGATATTAACCTTCAAATGATATTCATATCAGCTATAGGCCACGGACAACATGTTGACGTCATCATTATTATGACATCATACTAGTACAGTTGGTTACCACTGGCCATTCCTGAAACATCTATGTTCTACGTAACAAGCACAGCAAGAGAATACGGAAGTGTCAACAGAACCATCATTTGAACTCAAATTCGAGAAAACTATGGCAACTAGTGATAAACTAGGGCAACATGTGATAAACTAGGGCAACATGTGATAAACTAGGGCAACATGTGATTTAACAGTTTAACAAGCAAAAAAAGTACGTACAATTATTTGAACTATTTTCAAGTTGAAATGAGATTAAAATTATAACAAAAAAAGGCAATAAAAGTATTGAATTGCTTCGTGGAACTGGTAACTTTCAGTTGACATTCTTATTGACAATGAATGCAAACAGAAAGCAGTTTAATGCTAAATTAAAATTTCGATACAGTTTAATGCTAAATTAAAATTTCAATACAGTTTAATGGTAAATTAAAATTTCGATCCAGTTTAATGCTAAATTAGAATTTCGATACAGTTTAATGATAAATTAAAATTTCGATACAGTCTAATGCTAAATTAAAATTTCAATACAGTTTAATGGTAAATTAAAATTTCGATACAGTTTAATGCTAAATTAAAATTTCGATACAGTTTAATGCCCATTTTGTTAATTCTTCCAGAGTTTATTTTTTATTGTTTTAACATATATATCAAATAACCTGTAATTGACGACGCAATTTCAGGTATGGGCTCGGTGATACAATGTGGTACAATGATTCTGAAGCTATACGAATCAATTACAATTGTACTATTAAAACAATTTAATGTAACAGAAAAATCCTTGTTGAACTAGTAGTGATTGCTACTATTTGTACTAGACCTAAAGAGTTATTTACACAACACAGCTGCGTGTAACCACTGCTGAACTTCGCAGGACAAAAAAGGTCAACTTTATTTTGCATCATTATGCATTGGACAGGATGATATTGTATAACATATTCATTGTATATATCAAAACAGCATGGAGTGATTGTACCATCAAAAACAGTAATGGAAAATATGTAATAGATTTTCACATTGTAACAACAATATGCCATTGACACTATTGCTGGACAGTGGACTAATCTTTTAACTATGCAGTTCTCATCGCTGCATCCAAACAAATACATAACAAAAATTAAAATGCATAAAAATATAATTTTAAAAGAACTCTATTAATGGTTGTCCCTAGCAATCAGTGCTATGACAGCGCGGCAGTCAAGAGGAGGTTTGCTATATTGATATATATATTTACGTAAAGTATAAACACACAAGAATAAATCAATCAACCAATAAATAGACAAAATTCAGGAAACACAATGAATTAAAGATGTACCGGAAAACTATTTCCGGCTGTCAAGTCTAGATAAAATAGCTGTGACATTGCGATAATCTGGTGTACATGATTATATTATAAGTGGATAAAAAGGAACGACATTTGGTTTAACTGCAAAAAACACCTACAAACTCAGCTTTGCACTAATTAATACTGTGATTACACTGCGGTGCACTACAAGCCCTAAACATCTGTCGGTCGTTCATATATAAACCTGTCTTTACTCTGTACAGGTTATCGTGTATATGATTATGATAACGTAGACTTATCCTCATCTATCACATACAAGATGTTGTATGTAATTAATACACATGTAGCTAAGGATATTTAACCTTTAAGTGAAGATCATCATACGTTGATATGAAGAGTACGAAATTCTACACCATAACAACATAGTCATCCAACATTTTCTCCCATATATTATTTTAAATATGTTTTAGGGATAACAATGTCAAGATTGCAGATAGTTAATTTTCTCGACCTCGTAAATCATATACTATTATCGTAAAAAAAACCCGACATTTGATCTCAATTTTCTAGTTGACTTTCGGTGCAGTCATTACACTTGACAATAGCCAGTGTCAGTATAATTTACAAAATACTTTTACTTTGACATCTTCGTTTTGCATCGATAGTATTAAATGGTCATTGTTGTAGAAAGGAGAAGCATGTATACTCTTTAACATAGTGTAATGTTTACACGCTGATCCGGGAGGCGTCGTGAAATGTATGATCTTTAACATAGTGTAATGTTTACACGCTGTTCCGGGAGGCGTCGTGAAATGTATAATCTTTAACATAGTGTAATGTTTACACGCTGATCTGGGAGGCGTTGTGAAATGTATAATCTTTAACATATAGTGTAATGTTTACAAGCTGATCCGGGAGGCGTCGTGAAATGTATAATCTTTAACATAGTGTAATGAACCTTGTACACGCTGATCCGGGAGGCGTCGTGAAATGTACAAAATAAGTTTATGACTCTGAGGTTCAAAGAGCATAGAATGTGCCCGAATATTTAGATAGTGCACACGTTAATTGGCTTTGGCCTGGCACTTCAATTAAGCCTTCGATAACGTTTGGCGTGTTGTTACAGAAAAAGAATGTCGCGAGCTGACCTCATATGAGTCGGCTTGTTGAGCGTGAATTCCTAATTCTGGTATACTCAATAATCACATCGACCTTGTTGTGCTGTACGTAGCAGGAAATCGTACACTGACATAAACTAGGTTTAACGCCCACTGATATATATCCTAATGTTTTATTGTAAAAGGGCATTGACTTTTCTTGGAAACTTGTTTTCCCAATGCTGCCTTAGGTAAAGGGATCAACAAATCTAACTGTTGTATTACCATTGTCACCATTGTGTAATACTTGGTTAGGTCGTTGTCACATGTTGCCGTCCATTTTACACAATTGCAGTTGTTGTATTAAAAATCATGGAAACTGCAAGAGTCGACCTCGGAATCTTTATCTTGCAAAACCTACATTATTTTTATAATTAAATAGAATATCTTATTTCACCGACGTCTCTACCATTATCAGTGTTGCCGTACAGGCACAGCATCATAATATGTGTCCAATTATTGGGTCACAAAGCATATACAAATAACTTGTCAGGGAAGTTACTCTTAGCCAGGAAAACTCCCTTAGGTTGTTTTATCTCCTATATAGAAGGGATAATAATTCAAGATAAATAATCTGAATCGAAATGTTATTGGCGATAAGTACTAATGAAGTGGTATCATTGACCTTACAATGACATAGAAACGATTACTACATTAACGCTCTACGTCACATAGCAATGTTCCTCTCGTCAACAAATAGATGATCTAGTCGTTGTTTTTGTAGTATAATTCGTTTCCTTTAACAGCACAATTTACACAAAACATTGATGTTTATATAATTCTGTTAAGGTTTATATTTCATACTTACTACGTTAAAATAATTCTGTTCTATGTTGTACATATCTATATCAAATATTTATATATTAAATATATATTGAGTGTATTATTCAATAAGGAATATGTTATAAGAATGATTGAGAACTATTCTGTAAACTTTTCCCTAATTAAGTCTGACATATGTTGTCGTTAGGTAGGATTACATTGACTATGACAAATCCCTAATTTGTGGGTGTTGTGATTACTACAGTGTTAATGTCAGAATGACCACTGACCAAAGGAAAATAGCCAATAGGCAGCATCCTGTTACTGCTAGTATCTACTCAAGACCTGGTCCGAGGGGTCAACCGCCGGACATTACTCTGTAACATCGATACGGCTGACCTTAGAGTGCAGTGTGTGAACAGACAGCTTACAGATGGGCCTGACCTTAAATACGATACAATGATTCACTGATGTTCTACGCTAGAGTAAACAACCCCATTGAACTTGGACGTTTTATTTGATTGGTAAACGCAATATTTGCATTTGAATTTTCTCATCCTTTTTTTCTATGGTTAAAAAATAAACCTGTACTAATCAGAAGGTAAAGCACGTCTTACTCAAACTTATTGGTTTCTGAACCCTGATTTGGTTGACTGATTTAGTTTTAATCAAGACGACCGGGATTCGATTTCTCGGAACGACTTGAAAATGTATGGGGTCACCTGCCTTACCACGTGGTTTACTTCGGGTACTCCGGTGCCCTCCTACATTAAGGCTCCTGCGCGCTACCATCCGGGTGATTAAAATACACTTATAGACTTTATTTCGCAAATATTGTAAAGAAAGTTTAATACCTGTAATTTTATCTAATCTGATTTGTGATTTCAACAGTGATCGGGTCTCGACCCCACCAAGTTTCAAGTATCTAAAGTGATTCTGAATATGGTGATGCCATAATACACTGTGGTAAGGTGACGTGATAATTGTGTCAATGACACGTCCGTAATACCGTGTTGCTTTTGTATTTAACACACGTGCTCTATTTAACACACGTGCTCTATTTAACACACGTGCTCTATTTAACACACGTGCTCTATTTAGACGATTAGTTATTGCATTAATTGTTGCGGTGTCATACAGTAGACTGTTTTTCTTTCGTTTATACAATATTTGTAGACTTTTTTAGGAATCGCTTATTTATAGAATATTAACGTCTTTCAGTTTCAAGAGATAACGACGTGATATTCAAGGTTGATTAAGATTTAATAGAACCTATTTGGCATCCTAATGCTGTAGATCTCCCTTATGGTCGATGTTAAACATATTAGATTATTTATCGGAACATATGTTGGCTATTTTAAGAATTAAAAATACCTTCCTTAAATGTACTTTAGTCTATGTAGTTGCTTCCTATGTTTAACGCTACATGTGGTCGATATAGCATAGGCGTGTCTTTGGTAGTACTTTCCTAAAACGAATCTGATGTAAGCCGACGCTTAGGGTTAGGGTTAGTGTTAGGGCTTTCGATAATTGCAGATTTAAATCGAAATGAGGTAAAAGTTACATGCGAGCACACAGTTTCTACAAAACTGTACATCCACCCCCTCCCTCCCTGACTCAATATATAAATAAATAAATAAATAAATATATTTACCGTATGAAAATAAAACACAACGCATGACAGATCCAGTGATTCTGTTTCTAAATATATATTGAATAGATAAGTAAATATATATTAAATAAGTAAACACAAATGTTGTTAAAAATTTTACCAATAAAGAGTTCGCCATTATCATTTCACAATAAAAACAATCCAAAAGTATACTTTTTTTCTATAAATTGGAGACACCATTTTAAAGCTGTGTGGTTGGCAGAAAAACTGTCATTTTTGCCGAAACATTTTCTTTTTACGGCGGGAGAAAATCGCTTAATTTATATAATTATATAATGTCTAGATCGACAGGATCCTCAGACTGGGCTTTAACTTGGAGATTAAGACAGAATAGGTCAATCACCCCCCGCAGTGCCACTCCTTGATTTGTCTGTTTTTGCGACAAATATGAAAATATGATGTTTGTTTTTCTGCCTTGGGTTTTCTTCTCTTATAATGGTTAAATGCTTTGAGTAAAAGGAAGGAAACAATATAGCAAACGGTAGTGATTCAGACGAGTGTACTATCACGCTGTCATGTGAAATGCCCTCGCGTTAAACACCCTTTACGTATTGTGGGAGAACCAAATACGCAGGTAATTATGTTCTTACTGTCATTCTGGGCAATACCCAATGATTAGACATACCTACTAATAGCTGGTGTTGTATAAAGGTCGATGATTGAGGACGTCACATTACTTGGATTTGACTAAGATTTACATGTCGGGTGTCGTCGATGGACTCCCCTGTAGGCCGGGGGTCGGGAAAAGAATACACCAGCTGTTACCCACTGCATGTATCGTATGAGGCAGATGAGGAAGGCAATGGGTTCTGACCCGCGCTCGAGACATACCAAAGTCCTTAAAATAGTAGTTGGTATTCCCTGCTTAACGACTGGTTCACTCGTTGTCAGTATAATGTGACCGGGCGGAATTCTGTGCTGGGTGCCTTTGGCATGGTATTTCAGTAAGATAGCACTATAAAGTCGACATCAGAGCCGCGCTATTACAAGGAGGGAATAACGCCAACATATCCTGTCTCCAGCACACAAACACACCAGCACGCTTACACATGGAGGCACGTCCATGTTAATATGACGTTAAATAAAACCAATCGTCGATAGAGCAGAAAATGATCACCTTTTCAGGACATTTTGACCTTATTTTGCTTTTTCAAGGGACTCCATGTAATTATTTCTTTGTTCAAATATTGCCCTAGTTTATCGACTTCCACTTTGATGTCCAGTTTTGTTAGAACTTACGTATGTTCTTGTTGTTTGTTGCAGGTTACACATGATACGGCAGAACTTTATGAGAGAGATGGGCTGGAACACGCTCCCAACAATAGACGCCAGTGTCGTGGAGAGACCTCAGGATCTCCGCCGTTATGTCCAAGACCTTACCATGGAAACCCAAACCTGCTATGCTGCATCATGTAAGTAGGTAACAGTGTTCCTGACGTCAAAACGAGGCTCACTTTAAAACGTTTCGTTTGTGTAAAATGCAGTAAAATATTTACCACGCTGTCGACACACAAGGATACAACATCAATGTTCAGCGGGAATTCGAATAACACACCAACAATGTTGTTCATAGAGATATCTGAATGAATGAAAGCGGAAATATTAGTATTCGTTTCGTTCCGTGTTCGAGGTCTATTGTTTTTACACAATGTCGCAACAATGCGACTTTTCAAAAACATTTTTTTAAGGTAATACTGATGTGACGTTGTCAGTGTGAAATAAGAATTTTTATGATTGCGTATTGCACCCTGTGCTCGAAATTCCAGAGATGTCGCCCACTTATGTGTTCTGCACCCCCGGAACATGTCCTGATAAAATGGAAGGCTCGCGGTTAGCACTTAATTGATTTCAGGTTAACAAAACAAAGAACTGACCAATCACTAAGCTGATACCTGTACTTTAAGATTACAGAGAAGCGATAATATACTTCATAGCCAGTCAATGTTACCGTTATGCTGCCGTCTATTCGGGGTTACCTCATAGCCAGTCAATGTTACCGTTATGCTGCCGTGTTTTCGGGGTTACCTCATAGCCAGTCAATGTTACCGTTATGTTGCCGTGTATTCGGGGTTACCTCATAGCCAGTCAATTGTACCGTTATGTTGCCGTGTATTCGGGGTTACCTTATAGCCAGTCAATGTTACCGTTATTCTGCCGTGTATTCGGGGTTACCACATAGCCAGTCAATGTTACTGTTATGTTGCCGTGTATTCGGGAATACCTCGTAGCCAGTCAATTGTACCGTTATGTTGCCGTGTATTCGGGGTTACCTTATAGCCCGTCAATTTTATCGTTATTCTGCCGTGTATTCGGGGTTACCTCATAGCCAATCAATGTTACCGTTATGTTGCCATGTATTCGGGAATACCTCGTAGCCAGTCAATTGTACCGTTATGTTGCCGTGTATTCGGGGTTACCTTATAGCCAGTCAATTTTACCGTTATGCTGTGTGTATTCGGGGTTACGCTCACTATAGGTCTCGCTCCACTGAGCGACTGGCATGAAACAACACAACGCAAATATTTAGTCATAATCTACGACAAAATAAAACGCAATCGAAATAGATCGATACAAATAAGTCCTCATAAATATGTCGATAACTAACAAATTGCCGTCATCTGTCGTGGAAATATGTACGCCGCAGTCTGACGTAAACCGCGCGAAACGACAATAAAGAGATACTCCGATGATAGATCTCAACCTGCACGCCCGGGAAAAGCCAGAGATTGCCCATGAAAACCTGTATCCAAAAGCCGGACAAATATTATGCAAGCCCGATTTTTCTGATGACAGTTGGACATCTGTCTACTCTTTTTCGTATCTAGGCGACTAGCAATGACCAACATCTACCACCCGTGTACAAGCGAACACGTGATATCATTCTGCTGCTCGTGCCGCACAAGACACATTATTACCGCTTCTGCTGCCAACTGCGGGAATATTTGATTATCTGTACATCTGGAATTCGTACTCTGTACGCGCCCCCTTTCGGATGATACAGGTCACCTGGTTCAATCCTTTGGTGTACATTCCGATGATACAGGCCCCCCTAGTACAATCCTTTGGTGTACATTCGGATGATACAGGTCC